TGTTTCAGCCGAGGCTCTCGACGATGCGAGCCGCGAGATTGCGATAATTTGTTTAGGCTTCCGAGTTCCCTCGAACCTGCGAAAACATTTTTCTATGGGATTGTTGATTTCGCCGACCACTTTAGAATTTATAGCTCCGCCGGAGATCCGGCCGTAATGCGGAATCACCTTCGCGTCTTCTCCGCAGCCGTTGTATTATTTATCGGCGTGGAACGCGGCGGATGAAAATATTCGAGCGACTCGCCGAAGAATTTCCGGAAAGATTTCGAAAAAGCTGTCGCCTCGACGAGATCCGTTCTCGTTAAAATGCTCGAACGTCTGGAAAACGGCCGAGAGAATTCGCCTCGCCGTTACACCGCGAAAGGTAAATGCGCGTACAAACGGATTCTCAAAGAAACGCGTTATTATCCAATTGTGAATGTAAAAGCTCTCTTATAGTAACTCGGTCTACCAGAATCAACAGACTCCCCGTTCCAAAGACTTCCTTAACGCGGCCGACTACGGACCGACTAATCTACTCGCTGCTCAAAGCGAACGTACAAAACCAACCAGCCGTATCCAACTCGATTTACTCTGCCGCATCACGGTTCTGTAATACACTTTTATACCGAGTCTCGGTGTTTTATCTTCGGCAAATTCCCGGCATCGTTCGAAATACGCGGAACGCGGCGACGACGCGACCGAATTAAAAATTGCTACCTCGATCCGATCGGAAAGCGCAAGGTTCGCGAAACGGCGAACCTTTCCTTTTCTCGTTCGCATAATTCGATAGGGTACCGTTTCGAGAACGTTCCGCGCTACCCCCCTGACTCGAAGGGGTCTGGCCACGGCCAGGGCGAATCTACTTCGTTTCATGGCCGAGAGGAAACGGGCCAACGAAATGGCCGATCCATTTGCCGTAATTCTATCCAGATCCCATTCATCCTATCGTAGGCGTTTAATAGCCGGCAAGTTTTGCGCCGAGAAGCGTTTTGCGCGTTCATTACCGCGTTGGCAGTCGCGTCTATCTTTTCCCGGAGGAGCACTTTATTGCTCGGACGAAATCCAGCCGCGGTAAACATCGTTCCACCGGAGAAACACTCGTCGCTCGGTATCGGCGAGCGAGCGTGCTCGCTCCGAGAGGAGGAAACGCGACGGAGATGCGATCGAACACCAGACGGGAGTAGCGATCTCCGCGTAATCCTTTCAGCCAACGTAACCTTGTCAACCCCGCGATTTAGCCGGGGCCATCCGATCTTGGAGACTAAAGCGGAGAGGCGGCCCCGCGGAGACTTAATAAGCAAGCCCGCCAAATTATCCGCAATTTTCCAACTACGAGGAAGCTTTCCGCGTCCGCTCGGAATTCGGCGGATAAAAGTCCGCCGGAATTCGAGGAGCGCGGGGAAACTCGGCAAGACCTCGATCATCGCTCCCCTAAAATTAGATTAATTCCCTTCTTTCTTCTCTCCCTTGTTTCGCGATTCAATTTCCTCCGGACTCCTTATCACCCCGATATTGTGTACGAATTCTTCGAATTTTATCGTGCGCGAGCTCCTCGCGTTCCTCTCCCTCTTTTACTTTCTTCTCCGGGACATTATAATTATTCCGCGCCTTCGTTGTTGCTAATTCATGGAAGATTTTTTGTCGTTTTCCTCGTCCTTCGATCTCGCGACGATTCTCGGAGCCGGAACTCGACTGCGACGTTCGGAAGAAACGATCAAAGTGCGGTAATGTCTCCCTAATCGACGTCCAAATTGTCCACAAAAATGGACAATTTAGAAAGAGGAGATACGATCGTGCGATCCTCGCGGTTCATTTTTATAGCCACGAATTGTCGACAACTATAAAAACGAGCTGCAACGGCTCGAGTAATCGTATCTCCTCTTTCCAAAATTGTCCATTTTTCTGCACAATCTGAGCGTCGGTTAGGGAGACGTTGCTCGATTTCACCGGAGATTTTGAAGCGAATAAATCGGCGAATGATCAGAGATTCGACCTCTTCGATTTCGAATCTCTTCGGTTTCGAAAGAGATCTTAATTAATGTCGAGAAAACGTTGGACACGCGGCAAAACTTGTCTCTCGAAAAACCCCCCTGAACGAACCGTCTATACCTCTGTCGCATTGTACCGCGAAGTAGATTCTCCCATTCATATGGNCATCGTTCGAAATACGCGGAACGCGGCGACGACGCGACCGAATTAAAAATTGCTACCTCGATCCGATCGGAAAGCGCAAGGTTCGCGAAACGGCGAACCTTTCCTTTTCTCGTTCGCATAATTCGATAGGGTACCGTTTCGAGAACGTTCCGCGCTACCCCCCTGACTCGAAGGGGTCTGGCCACGGCCAGGGCGAATCTACTTCGTTTCATGGCCGAGAGGAAACGGGCCAACGAAATGGCCGATCCATTTGCCGTAATTCTATCCAGATCCCATTCATCCTATCGTAGGCGTTTAATAGCCGGCAAGTTTTGCGCCGAGAAGCGTTTTGCGCGTTCATTACCGCGTTGGCAGTCGCGTCTATCTTTTCCCGGAGGAGCACTTTATTGCTCGGACGAAATCCAGCCGCGGTAAACATCGTTCCACCGGAGAAACACTCGTCGCTCGGTATCGGCGAGCGAGCGTGCTCGCTCCGAGAGGAGGAAACGCGACGGAGATGCGATCGAACACCAGACGGGAGTAGCGATCTCCGCGTAATCCTTTCAGCCAACGTAACCTTGTCAACCCCGCGATTTAGCCGGGGCCATCCGATCTTGGAGACTAAAGCGGAGAGGCGGCCCCGCGGAGACTTAATAAGCAAGCCCGCCAAATTATCCGCAATTTTCCAACTACGAGGAAGCTTTCCGCGTCCGCTCGGAATTCGGCGGATAAAAGTCCGCCGGAATTCGAGGAGCGCGGGGAAACTCGGCAAGACCTCGATCATCGCTCCCCTAAAATTAGATTAATTCCCTTCTTTCTTCTCTCCCTTGTTTCGCGATTCAATTTCCTCCGGACTCCTTATCACCCCGATATTGTGTACGAATTCTTCGAATTTTATCGTGCGCGAGCTCCTCGCGTTCCTCTCCCTCTTTTACTTTCTTCTCCGGGACATTATAATTATTCCGCGCCTTCGTTGTTGCTAATTCATGGAAGATTTTTTGTCGTTTTCCTCGTCCTTCGATCTCGCGACGATTCTCGGAGCCGGAACTCGACTGCGACGTTCGGAAGAAACGATCAAAGTGCGGTAATGTCTCCCTAATCGACGTCCAAATTGTCCACAAAAATGGACAATTTAGAAAGAGGAGATACGATCGTGCGATCCTCGCGGTTCATTTTTATAGCCACGAATTGTCGACAACTATAAAAACGAGCTGCAACGGCTCGAGTAATCGTATCTCCTCTTTCCAAAATTGTCCATTTTTCTGCACAATCTGAGCGTCGGTTAGGGAGACGTTGCTCGATTTCACCGGAGATTTTGAAGCGAATAAATCGGCGAATGATCAGAGATTCGACCTCTTCGATTTCGAATCTCTTCGGTTTCGAAAGAGATCTTAATTAATGTCGAGAAAACGTTGGACACGCGGCAAAACTTGTCTCTCGAAAAACCCCCCTGAACGAACCGTCTATACCTCTGTCGCATTGTACCGCGAAGTAGATTCTCCCATTCATATGGTCGGACATGTGTACCCTCTAACAAGAGCTAACGATACTTTGAACCGAACGGATACGTCTTTGTATCCTTTTTTTCCGCGAACTGGGTCACGAAGTAGATTATCCCGTGTATGGTCGGACACTCGAGCAAACCTCGCAACTCGAAGTCTATCGATCATATACGCTCTTCTACACCGAAGAACAAATACCTATCGCCGGGAAGTTCTCGAAGAAATCACGAACCGGATAACACACGCGGCGAGCAGAATCTCCCGCGTGTAATCGGACAATCGGAAAACATCGGAGAGCTCTTAAACCCTGTCAAATATAGAACGCCAGCAAACTCGATCGATTTTGACTTTTGATTCGAGAAAGTCGTCGTTCGAAAAAACTTCAATATCGCTGATCAGGGACGAGGGAGAACGGTTCTGCGTCGAATCCACGCCGAGTACAGTAACGTCTCTCTAATCGACGCTTAGATTATTGTCCACAAAACTGGACAATTTGCAGCTCGTTTTTTTATAGTAGTTGACAATCGATAACGTCAATTAGAGAGACACCACTGTACAGGGGCAAAATAAAAATACCGCCTTCCACCAGGAAACACCCTGATCGAAAGACCCCTGAAACATTCCCACTGCCGCCGAAACGATCGCAATAATGGTGATATCCGACCAACTCGAACAGCGGTGTCTCCACGCAGAAACATCGAAAGACTTTCTATTTCCGGCGAGCACATCCTCTCTCGGTCGAACGACCGGCCAGCCCGCTGAAAATCGGAAAACGATTAAAATCGTCGAAAAACTGTCGGCCGCTCGTCGCCGTGAGATACAATCTCGTCGCAGAGTTCGTCGGGGTCGCTTCAATTTCACGCATCGTTTCATCAAACGTTGGCCACACGTGTCTCCTCCGTTTTTTAACCGACCGTTCGACATACAAGGTGTCCGACCAGCTCGCGAACCGTCCGACAAAGCGCGCCTCTCCCCTTTCTCTCTCTCTACCTTCATCCCTTACTCGCTCTTTCTCGCACTCCCCCGCTCCGCTTCTCTTTCTTTCGCCGTCTTACGTTCTCTCTTTTGCTTCGTCGCTCTCTCTCTCTCTCTCTCGCGTCTTCTCCGCTCGCTGTCCGCAAGCAGAAAGTTCCGTGGCACGCGTGGCACGCGAAGCGAAGCAACGAGACTCGCAATCAGGGCAGAGCAGAGCGGAGCAGAGCGGAGCGGAGCGGACGAGCGTGGCAGAGCGCAGCTCAGCGCAGCGCGTCTCGGTCGGGTCGCGCTCGGCCCCGAAGAGCGGGAGCGTATCGAATCGAGGATCTTCGCAGATTTTCGGGGAGGTTCGTTCGCCCACGGGTTCTCCCGGGCAGCCGGCACGGCTCAGTACACTGCGTGGCAGCCTGGACCGCAGGCGCCTCCAGTCGAGGACACGTAGTCGCGTTGGTTGCGTGTCTGCGCGGTCGCACGGAGTGTGCTCGCGACTCGTTGCGCGTCCGTCCGTGTCTCGCCTCGAATTCACCGTTCGGCTCTCCGTGCCGCGAACCGCCCGGCAGTGCCCTGGACGAGCGATCCGGTGCTCGGACGAGCCACGAGGGAAGCTGGACGGGGGTCGCGTCTCGTCTGTCCGGACCGTGTGGACAGGCTCGTCCGGTACCTGCTGGGAGAACCGTCGCGTCGGAGTCCGCGGCTGCCTGGGAAGCGGATCCGAGCGTGGTCGGCCAGCTGATCGACCCGGTGGGTCCACGGGATCCCGATGGGCTCGCGGCACCGCCGCGGCACCTCGTGCACGCGACCTTCCTCGGGATAGTTCGGTGAACGGGCCAGCGACCGCCTATCCACCTGTCCGTCTCCGCACCCGATCGCCTGGCCACCTGGCCACCTGGCCTAGCTCTGCCCCCGCACGCGGATGTACTGGTGCAAAGTGTTTGTGCGCGGCGTACGCAACGCTGGTCCAGCCACGCAGCCTGTGACCACGGATCAAAGATAGAACTGAAGCTCCGCGAGAGCGAGACACCCGAGGGAGGACGAGCAACGGTTCCAAGGAGCGATGATCGCGCGGACAAATGAGCACCTCGGCTCAGCGTTCGGGATATTCCAAGTGAGTACGGGGGAAAATGGGCTCTCTATCCGGATCCGCGGAGCTCTTTCGTCCAGGGGACAAACGATCGCTCGATACAATTCGCCGGTTCTCGCGCGAGCCTAATCGAGCGGATCCATTCTCTCCAGGGTGTCCTCGACTTAGGAGCAAAGAAAAATCCTCGGGAACCGAAAATTGAGATGGAGCCCATTTGCTAAACTGCTTCGGCCAATCCTCCGGGGAAATTCGATGAATTTTCCGTGGATCTCTTGCGAGTACCATCTCCTCCCTGCGACCCGAACGTCTTTCTCGGTCGCTCTACCAGGCTGATCGTCGCGCCGCAATTTTCCTTACGCTCGAATACCCTCGACGTCCTCTCTCTCTCTACCTCTCTCGCTCGGCTCAGCGTCTCTTCTCGGTAGTACGCCGCTCGAACGTTCCGCAGTTTCGCTATTTTCGAGTCCCCCTTTGAATACGCGATAAGGGATCGCTGGAGCGTGTGTATCCGTCGGTCGGACGGCCGTTTGGCGCGAAATCCGACGCGGCGTTGGCACCGGACCGACCGATACACCGCGCATCCTCCGGCCTGGTTCGTGCTTAACGAGGATTTCCACCGGTGTAACCCGCCGGAAAAATCTCGCCTCTGTGCCCTCCCCGCGTAGCGGGGAATACGTCTCGCCACCTACTACCACCGTCGCTGCTGTACAAACCCTTCGCCAACTCCGTACCCTTTCGCGCCGACAAACTTGGCCGCGTTCGAACCGCAACGCGCAACACCTTCGAGGCGGTGTTCCGCGGCCCGGAACTTCGGCAAAGGAGAGCCTTCGGGGAATTTTGAGAAATTTCTCGCGGTACACGGGCCACTGTGCTCGCTCGATGCGGCACGAATATCGTCGTCGCGTCTTCGGGATTGCTCCGGCTACTCAGCCGCCGAAGCTTCCGTTCGCCAGCGGAAACCGCTGGCGAGCGGAGCGGTTGATTTTTCTTCGGTTCGAGTTCGCTTCGATTCTTCGTTCGCGGAGGTGCGATTCGGTAGTTGGCCGGTGTATTCTACAGTCACTCGATACCGTGCCCGGAAGCTCGCCTCAACTCCATTATCCTCGGGACCATTGTAGTCGGTTATCAGACTGTGGCGGTCCGTAGAAATTCTGCTTGACTTTGCCCATTAACCCTTGTCACCCGCAGGATATTGTTGCATCTGGCAGATGTTAAAATGCTGTAAAACTCGTTGCATGCTCCGCGAACGGAGTATTACCGGTGTATTAAATTACCGTGTATAATGTACGAGCAGTAGCGAAAGGCTCGAGTTATAATAATACTCCTGCCGGACGGAGCCGAACGCTGGCTCGCGGTTCGAGCGATCGGAGCTAAAGTTTGATTGTTTCCACCTATATTTGCTTAGGATTTCCCGCGAACCTAGAACAGTGCTACGCGGAGTACCGTGTTTATACACGGTCGAAGTACGAAGCAATATACATAGCCGCGAAAAGCAAATAACGAAAGATTGTTAAGTATTTTTATCAAGAAAATTCCAAAATTAGCTTTCGGGTCGCCTAAAAGACAATTTTACACGCCCTCGAACGAAGCCTGCGAAGGAATGTTGGTGGTAAACGATCCAACGAAAGTCTAGGTAGATAGCGTCGGAAAAATTCCAAAATTAGCCGAGAATACGAAGCTCGAGACCGAAGCGGCCCTTAAATCTCGCCGGCTAACACCTTTAAGCCTCGCGACCTTCCCAAGCGTGGAAGATCGAGCGGGCCGACGCGTCCTGCCCCGAAATAACTCGCAGACGGGTCAGCCTCTCTCTTCGAGCCATTTCGCCGCGCCGCACCGCGCCGCGTCGCTTCGAAATACTTGACCTCCGACCCTCTCCTCCCAACGGCGCACCCCCAACCCCTCGTACGATGCACGGGGTGTACACACGATTCCGTGGAAAGTTCCGAGGGAATTTCGAGGAGAAACAATCCTGATGGGAACTCGGAGATATCAAAACCCCTCGGCTCCGGTGTTATCTGGCCGTAGGGAAAGCTTCTGGAAAATAGGAATTGAAATGTGGGGCCGGACGGTCCTGGTGCCGCATCCTTGGGGGATCGCGATGCCCTGAATGACAAGCAGACGCCGAATTTTCGGCGATTCTAAATCCCGTTGTTGCCCGAAAACGATCGTCGTTCTTCCGGACGCGGCTGAGCAAATTCGAAAGCTTTTTCTTCCAGAGTACAGCGATGTCTCTCCAATTGACGCTCGGATTGTGCAGAAAAATGGACAATTCGGGAAGAGGAGATACGATTATTCGAGCCTCGCGGCTCGTTTTTATAGTTAAGAATCGTCATCGATCCTTTTTAGCATTTGACGATGACTGACAAGGATTCGACTCTTCTACGATGCAAAGACACTCGACGTCTTCGGGGAGAAAGAGAATGAATTTTGTTTTGAAAAAATGTTTTCGTAAAGGTTCGTAATTTGCTATTTAGGGCTGTTTGGTCGGCCTCGTCGACTTTAAGGTGTTGGATTAAAGAGTTTTAGGGGATCTCTCGTGGTAGTGAGGACGTCGGTGAGGATTAAAGAAGACAGACCACTCCGCGTTCCACCGAATACGCGGTTTATACTGCCGGCTACTTTGTTAGGTAATGGTACTCGGCGGTTTTACGTCTTTGCGCATGCGTCTGCACATTTCTCTGTAATGCGACAAAGATTTTTCACGATTGAATCGAGGATGCGTTCTTTGTTAATATATTTCCAGGATCGTAGGTCCGTTTTAAAGTATACCTTCCGGCGTATACGTTCATCGTTGCCCAACAGATATTTGTAATCTAACGATGAATTATAAGCAAAGTTGCTGTCCAACGTTTTTTAATTCGCGCAGAAAAATTCAAACGTTCTATACGCGAGAAGCAAATGGACGAATTCTTATCCGTGGAACGTACAAGAATCCGAGTACTCTCGGCTTCCGGTTATCGATATCTTAATCACCGTAGAGCGGTAATATAAATCGGGAGGCGAGTAACGTCGCAACGTTTCGAACGGTCTCGGCGACGACTTTAATTGGCCATTCGTTATCGATTCGGAAGGGATCGCATAGTCGACGGTTTGCTTCCGCAGCAAATTATGCCAGACAAAGACGTTCTAATCGCAGCAGCCGTAGAATAGACGACAAATGTGTCGAAGCGCGCGGAACTCCTCCGACGGCAAAATATATTTCAAACGATCCCGGCGGCGTCGTTAATTGGCCATTAGTTTGCGAATCACGGAAGGATTGGCGAATCGACAGGGCGAGCATCCTCGTATCGAGATCTTGCCGACGGGGCGCCGGTGTAAGATTAGCATTTCTACGGTGGGGACCGAAAACGTCAGACGTCAACATCGGAATCCAGACAGGCGATCCGATACGAAATGGAGAGGAGTGTCGCGAGCAGAGGAGAGGCGAGACGAGGCGAGACGAGGCGAGACGAGGCGGCAAAAACGGGCGAAAGGCGACGGAAGTGGGTTTCGAGCAGGACCAGGGAGAAGGATAGCCGGTTCTCCCCGGTTTTTATCATCGCTCTAAAGTGCACATTTCTGTAAGACGAATCCCCGTCTAACCGGGAAAAACTCGCGAGCCAGCCTGTTTCCAGCACCCGCTCGCCTCGCTTCCCTCGTCGCGACGGGGCGCGCGACGAGCAGCTCGGCGACGAGTTAGAGGACGGGGAACGTCGGTGATCGAGACTTACGACACAAGGCGCTCGGATATTAAGTATCCGTCGAATGGGACTTTATCGATGTCTAATGTCGTTTGGTGCTTTAGTACACCGGTCCCCGGACGATCGATAAGACGACCGAGGCATTGTGACGTTTATGGTGTTGGCTCGCGCTGCTTTTCCGATCGGCCATCGACTTTACTTTTTCCCCAGTTTTGATTTGTTTCGTCCGCGTTGGTTCCGCCCATCGATTGCTCCGTAACGACTCTGTAACGACGATATATTCCTCTTATTTTCCTCGAAGCTTCGGCGTTTCGAAATTTTCGCAGCTGGTTCCGAAAACGGCCAAACGTCTCCGCGGCTCGTTGTAGCTGGAACACCGTGAAACGAGCTCCGAGCCGAAGATCGACGGAGCTCGAGCAAAGTCTCCCGTCTTTGCCGGGCTAGGAAATTTGGTTTCAGGACAAATTCTTGCGATCGGAAGACGAGGCCTGGTCGTCGCCGGGTCGTGGGGCGTGCACGCTCGAGCGAAAACGGCATTAGCATTTAAATGGCGTCGGAAAATGGGGGTTGCGGGGGTTGGACGGAGGGGGTCGGAGGTTAGGTGAGTTACTCGCGGCGGTGTCGCGGATTTTACGCGGGGCTGGTACGTGCGAACGAAATCCAGGACGAGGAGGGTCGGAGCGGACGCTAAGTGGCGAACGTGGGAAAAGATAGAGCTCGCAAAATAACCTTTACGACGTTTTTAGGAACGGCCGTTACCGCCACGGCTAACACAGCATCCGGTTACACGATTCCACGGGACTGTTGTCCCGCATTACCATTTACACGGAGTTAATTGGCATTATCGCGCGACGTGCCGCGAATGATAAAAACGCCTGTCGCCGACAACAACGAGAACAACCGGCCGCGGGAATATAGATTTTTCCTTGGCGAATAGTTTCCCGATGGACGGAAAATTCAACGGGAGACCCTCTTCGCCTCGTTAAGAGGTTTATCGGGTTACGACCACCGTAAAAGTCCCATCAAACTTTCTTTCAACTTCGTTTACACGAGCCGGCTGGGTCCGCGTCGATTAGTTGGGACCGGCTACAGCTTCCGCGGTCCTATTATCGATTTTCGACGTCTCGTTTCATTTCGTTAAGGCTCGCGAGCTTCCGAAACTGCGGAGCTTGTAATTTTTTGCAAACTCCGATGATTTCGGAGCGTCGTCGGGCGTCTCGTTAACTTCGGATTTTATGCGAGAGCTGTCTCTCGTAGATCGACCTCGCATGATTCTGGCAAAGCGCATTTGTAGCTTCGAACATTCGTTCGGCAATTACAAATTGCCGTTCTTTTATCCCGAAT